ATCAAAGTTTCTGTCAAAAACCTAACTCTCCAAACTCTTCCTAAGAAAACATAAGCTTTTTCAAATTACATTACTTGATATAGAAATTTTATTGCTTAAGAACTTACTTTAAAAATGTTTTTTTTTCTAATTTGTGTAAGTTCAGTATGCTTATATAGTAAAATCCTAATTCTCTCCATCTTACAATTACGTATTACCTATACTGCAAAAAACTCAAGTTTTTTCACCCCTCACAGTCCACAGATCAGTTAGACCTTTAACTGTCACAGATTAAAGGTCACAGATGAAACACAAGTTTTGTTCCTTGAAGGAAATCTACAGAAATTCTTGTTCTCTCCTTGTTGATTGCACATCCATGAGATACAAATGGGTTCAGAGGATTTTAACACAGATAATAAAGATACAACTCACATATAAAGTGATAGGAAATAGCTGCATACAGAACACAAATATGGACAGGGAATACACAGATAACAGATTAGACATCAGCACAGCAAGATACAGTAGCTTTTCCCCAAAGTGCATGTTTGACTGCGGTTTTAGTAACTCCAGATAAAAAGTGAGGATCAGGCAGGATGAAGTGGTGAATATTCAGCGTCAGGAGCAGCTTCTACAGCCTTCGTAAACCCGGACTGATAGGGCTGAGATCCTGAAGCACATAAAACGCCCCTCACACTTCCAAAATGCTCATTCAGTTCAGAGTGCTCCGTTAAGTTAGACACCACCAGGTTAATCAACATTTTTCCTAAAAAAAACCCCATACACATCAAGAAGCATTACAGAGAAAATCTGCAGCTTGAACTAATTAAGTATCCATACCTTTCCTCATTCAGCCTCTCAGGTGCTCAGCTACCAGATACAAGGTGTGCGGACTGCGGTATGTCACCTAAAGATCCTGCATACACATATACACGAGAGCAGATCCAAGAGAAGTACTAAGGTGCTCCTGGACATGAGAATTGAATGTCCTGCTACTAAGATGGTAGACTAAGTACCTTGGTTTCTGCATCGCTAGCTACACCTGGTAATGAAGGCATGGTGGTAAGACCAGCTGATGGTAAAGCAAAAACTAAACAAACTACAAGGCCCGGAAAACACATACTCTAGTGGCTTAATCAGGGAACAACAGGACAGGGGAAAAAAAAATATAGAAAAGAGAATGAAGGAAGCATGGAGACAAATAATCTTTATTTGAGAGGCACTTCAAATACGACATGAAGAAACAGATGAACGATGATCATATCCTTAATACTCATGATGAATCCAACTAGTGACCATCATCCTAAAATAAGCCTTTTCTCAGCCTGTAAGAAGGGGATTTGGGTTGCGCTTTACCACTGAAAAGCCAGTCAAGATGTCCTTTGGAAGTGCTGGCTCAAGAACCTGTGTCTTAGAAGTGCAAATTTCTTCCTGCTACTCAGTGTGAAAACCTGAAATTAATGGAGAAGAAAAAAGTGCCTAGCCAAGACCAAGATTTTAGAGATGTGACAGTAAAGCTGGAGTATGCAAGTGTATGGTAGCAATGGCAGAAGCTACAAGAGACACAGGTATCTGCAAAAGTTTTGTGGCTTGGCTCTCTCAAGAACCAAAAGTGAAATAGAAGAGCTGAACAAAGCAGAAATGATCTGCTGATGGAAACTCAATTCGGTGAATGCTGACAGCTTGGTTTGCCCACAAAGAAAGAAGCTCCTAAGGAATTAGACTGTCTTCCGTTAAAAGCTTATCCATCAAGTCTGGGATTTCAAAAGATCTTCAAGGACACCATACATAAATGAAAACTGAACATCAATCACAAGGAAAATAATTGCATTTAGTTTGAAGGAATCACTCCCGTTTTGATTTCTATCTACCTACCTATTGCATTTTGCTAAAGATCTCTTTGGATAAGAGCTTTTTTATATCTATATTCATCTCCGCTCCAAGAGCAAGTAACGGACAGCTGCAACCACTTTCCTCTCAGAGCCATGACTGATATCCATTTTTCTTGCATTCTTCTAGACACAAAGACAGACTATATTTAAAAAATATGAATGTAGGTATGTTGGAAAACGCCGCATAGACGAGGTGATTTTTGATATATTCTGAGTGGTGCACTTTTTTATCAACATTCTTAACTGACGTTTATATAAAGCCTTCCACCGACGTTTAGACTCATTGGATTTTGAGAAAAGGAAACTAACACAAAAAGAAGAATATAAACCACAACCACTGGGCTTCTATATGGACTTTTACATTTGTTGGATAGTATCAGACTGTTTCCCGTGTGTTTCCATTTGTATCAGTTACCTTTTGGAAGCAGCAGTTTTCACATGTATGTTGTGGTAGTAAACTAAACTGCAAGGTATTTGGGTATAATATTAGTAGGCTTTTATTTTTTTCTAATGCTGGAACATGAGGCATATGCTTTTAAATATTCTCATAGTTCATGTTTTCCAGAGCAAATCCGTTCATTATATCAGTCACTCACTGCTGTTAAAGTACAGATTTCCCATAAAGCTAAGGTAACTCAGTAATGAAGTTCTAGTCTACCCATCTGATGCTTAGCAAGATTTCCAGATGACCATTTCTAACAAGTATAATTCACTCCAATCCTTTCATTTGTTCAAACTAATTCTGCAACTGCTCAGAGTCTTCTGCCAGGCTGGAACTAACAGAATCGCTACGACAGCTTTAACTAGTGACAACGATATGTCTGATACTGACTGAAACATCAGTGAAAGCGCAGCAATATGATCAGTCACTTGTAAATATAAAAATACAATTTTT